GTAGTCGAGTTTTTGTCGGCCTTACTCGACTCACATATAGGTTTGAAGTGGACATCATACCAGTTGTGACTCGATCAAACATTGTTGCATGAGGTTGGGTGGATTTATTATAAATCCACCAGCAAAATAAAGTCCCTATTTCGTTTGTATGAGCGTGGCACTTCTTTGTACTATAGATTCTTTGGTGTAACCAAAGAATCTATAGTACAAAGAAGTGCCACGCTCATACAAACAAAATATCCACTTTATTTTGCTGGTGGATTTATAATAAATCCACCCAACCTCATGCAACAATGTTCGATCGAGTCACAACTGGTATGATGTTCAGTTCAAACTCATTGCAACCCACAATTGTTTTTATACTTTTGCCTTTCTTGTTTTTATTTGTCTATTTTATTAATATACATTGATTAGTAACGAAGTGAATGGTAAAGAAATCCCTGAAATAATTTTTTAATATACTTTGTTGCTTTATTTTCTTGTACTGGAAAGGCCTATATCATAGGAGTAAAGAGTAATAGAACATATTTTTTTTTATTGCAACAAATGATGCACTACAAAAACCATTATGTATGTACAAATGTGATATTGGAGACATTAAGTCTGCAGTACATAAATAGGTTTGTTTTTATTGCACATTTGTGCATATATTTTACCTCAAAAGGAACTACTTCTTAATAGTTTGAATTTTTGGTGACTTTTTGTAATTATTTTAAAAAATATTTGCAAGATTCATATAAAAGTTTTTGAAAAGTATTTTAGAGAAATTAAAAATATTAGAAATGTAAGAAAAATTTTAATGCAAAAATGTGTAGAAGTCACTAAAACCACTATTAATGCCTCCTGGTTTGAGGAAACGCATGAATGCTATTTACACCGGATTGAAATGTTAAAATTGGTGTTTACGATATTGCTTCGGAAACATTGCGCATGGACAACATTTAAGAATAAAGCTTCATAGAATGAAAAAAATCAGATTTGAGACATAAATAAATTTGTAATGTGTTTTTACACTACAATTCATACCAATAGCAAACAGGTAATTTTGTTTCATATGCTATCAAATTCAAAAACTTATCAAATGTACACAATTTTGACTTCGTCACTGAAATGCTGTTTGATCGCTTGAACATTTTACAGCGAACAAACACACAAACATGCGTATAATGTAATACAGAGGGTTGCATGTATGATTGAATACGTATGCAGTCGGGCTTTTGTCAGCCTTACTTCACTCACATATAGGTTTGAACTGAACATCATACCAGTTGTGACTCGATCAAACATTGTTGCATGAGGTTGGGTGGATTTATTA